GCCAGGAGCCCCTAGTAGCGTCCTTGCTCCTAGTAGTACGGCCAGGAGCCCCGATGCCAGGAGCCCCTAGCAGGCATCCGGCTCAAGCTGCCCTTGCCTCAAGCCCCCCGGGGCCAGGCTGCTGCTGCGAAGCAGGGTCTGGCGTCTACAAAGGCGTGCGACCCTTCGCAGCTAGCCTGGTTCCTTTCGACCTTTTGTTCACCTCGATCCGCCGCGCCTGACGTTCATGTCGGCCCTCCCATGGGGGGCGTCGTTGCGTGATGATGAGCTGGACCGGAGAGTCTTGGCCTTGTTCAACCAGTTTCCTCATGGTTCTACGTGCTGGACAATAGGGTATCGAAAGATGGTTGCCATGACCGTGGATGCTGTGCACTCGGATGTCCTCCACGGTTCATTGTGTGCCCTCCACCATCGAACTGGTCTTCATTGGGATGGATGCCAATCCCACGATGCTGTGGTTCGAGTTCCTGGTCTTGACAACCGGTATCCACTTGTCTGCGCAGGCGAGAGGATTCTGATTGCTGGTGTCCTCAAGCACATGTCAAGTGATGGCAACAAAGTTGATTTCCAGAAAGGTGCGACCATTGTACATTGTCCGGCCATTGCTAATGAGCTTCACTGAAATATCCTGCATCTATTTGCGGCTGGCTATGCAGGTTGGGCCCAAGCCGCCCAGTGGTTGCAGTCGGACAACATTGGATTCGTTCTGGATCGACAAGTATTTGTTGATTGGGATCCCCTGGTGGTACAAACCTGTGCCAAGAATCATGATGCGCTGGTAGTCAAAGCACCAATTGAACCAAGCTGTGAGTTCGTGGTCCGCAAACAGATCATAGCTGAAGGTGCTGTGTCTGACCTCACGATCTTCCATACAGTACGAATGCCGTTCAATCTGGTGGCAACCTTGAGCCCACCTTGTGTGTCATGGTCAAAAGGCGGGGTTGGTGGTGGCCTGGATCCACCCATGGCTTAGCCCTGCTCGAGGGCATTGAGATGCTCCTTGCAACCCAACCGGTTGCTGCACTGTTTGAATGCGCTGATGAGATTAAAACTCATCACCATTTTCCAGTTTTCGGTGCACTCATGACATTGTTGGGTTTTAAGCAACAGGTAATTCCCTACCATTACTTGGCCCACCATTACAGGAATATTTGGCTCGCCCTGTGGGTTCGCTCTGACGTTCCCGCTACTGACTGAGGTTACCAATTTGTTCAAACTCATGGTTCCACCCATGCTTCCATGGCATGATGCACGATATTCGTTCTGCTTGCCTCAGGAAGTGCAGCGCCAGCTCAAGCTTTCACCGGATCAATTTTTGACTTATGGAGAGCTCCAATTGCTGCCACTTGGAAAGAGAGAGCCGGAGTTCAACCTTCGGTCACCGCTCTGCAGGTTGTTCGAGCACGGATTCCCTCAGCACAGGAACCACTAGCAACCTTATGTGTTCCTCCTACACACAGCCGCAATCATCTCGCTCGTAGGGGTATGTATGCCAGTCTCGATTGAGCAGGATGAGGAGTTTTACTTCCTTGATCCAATCGCTTTGTTGCATTGTTGGGGACGGTCACCGATTTGGCAATCCCACTCAACTTGAGCCAGGCCTTTCATCAATGCTATCAGTGTGCCACATGCACTACTAGGCATCCTGGTCATGCTTTCGTCCATCGCAAAGCAGTCCTTTCCAATCCAGGAGTGCGTTTGTAAGTGCTGGCTGAGCCGCATTCATGCTGATGTCACTGTCCTTATCGTTGAGGGAAACCGAGTCTGGATTCGCAATGTGGTGCAATTCGTTTTGTCCTTGCCAAAGCCCAGGTTTCATGTCCTTGATTCGAATGCCCAAGTTACGTTTCTTGAGGAGGACTTCCCCATTGAGATTGATTGGCGTTTGAATTTTCGAGAGCTTGGCGCTTTGTTGTTTCAGCTGCAACCGCATTTAGTGATGCAAATCAGAGTTGGACACTGTCCTGGATTTTCTCGCCCAAGACAAAGAATGCGACTTGTACCTTGGGGGGTACCATGTGTGCGCGGTGAAGTGGGTTGAACCTATGGCACCTACCTCTCTCATTGCTGATCATGATGATGTTCGGAGCACGCCCTCTTTGCCATGTGGCATCTCGTGTTTGCCTTTTGGTCCGTTCGACCCTGCCGACCTACTCTTCACGAAAGCCATTGAGAACTTGGAGAACCTCAATTGTGTGACAACATTTCCGGGCAGCACGTTTGTCATTGTTGCAGGAACCAACCTATGGGCTTTCACTCCGTTTGATGGTATACAGAAGATCAGTTTGCCGCACGCATTCGAACCGCCTTCGATTGCCTCGTGCCCCATGATCGAGCTGTGGTAATCCCACTGCGCAAGAACTTCCGCTGGAGAACTGGCACCCGGGATGCAGTGAGTGTTCTCCATGAGACTCCACTCCCTGTTCGTACCTCCGATTTTATCGTTGCTGCAGGGTCTATACTCCTCGGCCCATGTGCCAGTTGCATAATGGACTACCTTTCGATCCTGCTACGGTGCCTCAAGATGGTGATATCTTCGTTATTCCACATCATCAAGTTCGAGCTGGAGGTGTGCACGATGTCTGCAAAAAACGGCATGTCCTCCTTCCGGGCGCGACATTTGGTGAGAGGTGTGAGTTTGCTGCTAACACCGACGGGTGGGCTGCGTCGGATGAGATTTGGCACATCACGTCCATCTTCAATTGGTCCACTCCGCATATCCAATTCCTAGTCCCTGTCTTTTGGGACTCCAGGATCAACGATCTCGTCCCTTGCGATGGACAACAGTTTGGCTTTCCGAACAACACAATCTCCATCCTGCCTGTATTGATTGAAAACCATTGGGCCGGAGTTGAAGTCATGCGTCTTGCAGAGGTCATCCAGGTTTTGCTGGTTCAGGTGCCATCTGAATTGCAGGTGTGTCTTCATCAGATTCTTGCCAAGATTTTTTGATGCGAGCCCTTTGCACCTCTTAGTCACCGAGGTGTGGCCAGAACAAATCTTCAATTTATGTGGTTGGACACTTCTGCAACGCTGGAGCGCCACGCTCCCGGTTGAAGATTGGAGCGACCCCGTTGACCTCACGGCCATCGCGCCAGCTAAGCTGCAGGCAATCCAGATTGCCATCGAAGCCAGCCAGGAAGATTGGCATGCTTCCGGTGCTAGCCCACTCCTCATTCGTTTTGCATCACAGTGCCGAACTCGTGTCCTGTCATTCCTTGCCCGGTCCACAACTGCAGTGTCCTCAGCTGTCACTATGCCACTGTCCACCAATGTCCATTCGATTGAGATCAACCCTGATGCAAGAGCAGCCACTATGTCACCATTCTCAGGGGAGACGCCTCGCCACCTGCTGGATTACATCAACCGAAGACTTGAGGACTTTCGCTGCGAACCGACATGGGCGGCTATAGTGATGAAATTGACTTTGCGTTGGATGTCCTTCGTCCGTATGCTTCACATACATTGTTCATCAACCCCCTTGCATGTCTGGGCTTCGCAGTCTGCCGCCTTTCGGTCAATCACAGGGGTTCAAGTGCCACTTACCGGATACACGGACATTGTGGTTCCTCTCCGTGTATAGGGCGCCATTGGGTGCAATGCGACGTCTTTGCCCATGGTCAGACACTGTTTGTGTTGTTCACCAACACATTGCCGGAGTCTGCTGATCCGCAGACCATCGCCAATGCTTTTTGCAGTGCACACAAGCAATGTCACTTTCGTTCCGGTGATGCCCCTACACCAAAGGGAATGTGCGGATGGGCGCTTCTCGGGAGGCTCTTTGACCGTTACAGGATTCCTTTCCCAATCGTGTCTCGACAGATGACCCAAGCCTTGTTTCAGTCCCAATTCAGCCAACTTTTGAGCCTGATTCTCGACAGGGCGAACGAAGCATGGGCGGACTCCACAGACGATAGCTCCCTCCGGAAGCTTGCGTATTCGGTTCGTGCCAATTTCCTGCGCAGGATTCTTTCGAAACCGGGCCCTGCAGAGTACCTGTCAGCTGGCGCGCCTGACGCTGATGCCAGCATGCCACCGGCCACCACTGTTGCTGGCCCCATTGATCCTCTGACTGTGCACGATCCCTGGGCCCAAGCGGTTCGACAGTCATCTAAATGGGAGGACCTTAAATTAATTGCAAGCAGGCCACCCCTTCGTCGACTCAGCCAACAAATCCCTGCCACAGATTCATCGCCTCCAGGCTTCGAAGAATCGGGGTGGTGTGATCCTTGCCTCCAAAGGGACCATCGCTGACATCCTCAAGGTACAACCACCAGGTCCCTCCATTATTGTTATGCCGGCTACAGACTTGCGGTCTACGGACCTCTTGCAGCCAAGGTTCACGGACCTTACGAAGTCGTGCTTGATGATCCCAAACAGAAATCAAGCTACAAACGACTGGTGCAGTTTTTGCTCATCGATGGTGATGTGAAATTCGCCCTGCCAAAACCCACGTGTTCCTTTACCACCCCTTTGGTTTCGGAGCTGGTGTTTGAGCTTGATTCCCGCTGTACAGACAAGCAATTGTTGACTTACCTGCAGCAACAGCCCCTCAATCACTTTCGTGAGAAAGCCATTGAATCCTTTGGAGCATCTGCGGTCGATGCCGCCCAATACTATGGTTTTCGCATTTGTCGTAACCCACCTGCGGGGGATGGTGCGCACCAGTTGCAGTGCATTGTGAAAGTACATGCCAAACTTCGCGCTCAGCTCATTTCAGCCAGCGGCACGCTGTCTCAGATCTTTGTCCGTGACTTCCTGGACCGGTCGGTTCAACCGTCTGAGACGACGGTTCTGCCTCGTTTCTGGCCCGTTTCGCCCACTGGTCTACACCAGATCATCGCGACAGCTCAGGGTCTTCCCGGCTTTGCTGGATTA